TTTCATTAGTATTTGTGTATTTAATGTGTAGCCCAACAACTCTTATTCTTCCAACGGGCAGCAGAGAAAAAAAAATTGGACACCCCTGGACCTAGACTATTGCAATCAATTATTAACTTGTCTTTCTATTTCTGGGTTTAACTTCCTTGCTCAGAAATCATATAGTACTTTTCCTGCTACGTGGAAAGTAGAACCCAAACTTTTCAGCCAGGAATTTAAGTCCCTCAAAGTTCCAGCACACCTTCTATGTTGCCTCCTAAGACTTTTCCCATCATCTCATATACCTTATCATTTTCCAGGCCTCTTGGACTACTTGCCACTCCCAAATACATTCACTTTCACTGATACCATAATTCCTCTAACTGAAACTTCCTCTTTTGCCTTTTAAAATTCTATAATTTTTAACACTCTAGCTAAAAAGTTACCTCCTTCATGAAGACCTCCACCTTTTCACTAATTTATCCCTACAAAACCCCAAGTACCCTATCTGTTTCTTGAGTAGAGTACATACCACTATCTGCCTTATATTTTACTTACCTGAGTATGTGTCTATCTAGCTGAGTACATTACTAATACTATTCAGGTCACTGAACGCAGGAATCATGGCTTTACTCAGGTGTATGTGTGCCCTATAGTACTTTGCCCGGTAGCTGTGTAACTTTTCACAGTTGCTGTTGTAGCTATAACTCATGTATTTCTCATGGGGGTTAATTCACAATGTTTTATTTCAATATCTCAAACTGAAATTTACCTCTTTTACGTTTACATGGATGGAGCTGGAACATATCCTACTTAGTACAGTATCTCAAGAATGGAAGAAAAAATATCCAATGTACTCAGTACTATTATGAATTCAATTTACAATCACTCACACTTTCATATGAAGAATAGCTCACAACTATGTCCCAGGATAAAGGGGAGGGGGCGGGAAGGGAGGGAGGGAGCTCAGGTCGATGGAGTGTGAATGGTGGGATCACCCCTATGGTGCATAATGCAAGGGTAATTGTCGGATTTGTTAAGTATAGAGTATAAATGTGTTAACACAATAAGTAAATGAGATAAGGTTTATATTAACCAGTGTGATGTAAATGCTCCTAATTCTATGTGAAATCAGCACATTGTACCCCATACATGCATTAATGTATATATGATCTTATGTGTTTATGATTTAATAAAAAATAAATCATAAACTACAAAAAAAGAGAGGACTAAATAGACACCCAGCCTGGAATCTGCAAAAAAAATAAAATAAAAAATAAAAATAGGCTCAGCACTTGTAGCTCAGTGGCTAAGGGCGCCAGCCACATACATTGGAGCTGCAGGGTTTGAATCCAGTCCAGGCCTGCCAAACAACAATGACAACTACAACCAAAAAATAGCCAGGCATTGTGGTGGGTGCCTGTAGTCCCAGCTACTTAGTAGGCTGAGACAAGAGAATTACTTAAGCCCTAGAGTTGGAGGTTGCTGTGAGCTGTGATTCCAGGGCACTCTACCCAGGGCAACATAGTGAGACACTGTCTCAAAAAAATAAATAAGTAAATAAATAAAATAATTAAATCAAAATCACATAGAGTGGATAATCTCTGGCCCACTGGAAAAATTCATACCCAAATTACCTTTACTTCATCTGGAACACAGCAAGCCCTCTCAATACTTTTCTCACCCTCTCACTCACTCCTATCGACTGTTGTTTTTTCATCTCCTCCCTACCCCTGCCATTCCTCTGAGCTCCTCTTTCCATTATAATTGTCTTTCTCTTCCTTTCTTCATTTTGTTCTTCCTTGTCTCTCTTCCTTTCTTTTCTTTCTTTGCTTTTTTCTTCTTTTTATTTATTCACACCTATCTATCTTTTATGTAATTATGAATTAATGTGTTTATCCTTTCTCTTCCTTCAAAAGGATGAAAATTATATATGTGTATGTGTATTATAAGTATATTATCTCTTAAGCAATTATCAAAACAATTTATAGTTTTAACCTTGTATCTTACCTCATTTATTTATTTATTTTAGCCAGTCAAATTTAGCAGTGGGGGGGTTGAATACCAACTTTAGTGACACTAATGTTAATAAGCTCTGATAACCCACTACCATCGGACCAGTCAGCTCACTTATTTTTATAGTAAAATAGCAATACTTGATTCCCAATCCTACTAAAATAAACACATACGACTTTAAAATGGAATCAGTTTATACTGATAAGAGAACAAAAAAAGTGCTACCTTTTACACAAGGAGGAATATAAAGATAATTCCAATATGTACATATTGCTAAAAATAACATTAAACATTTAAAATAGTTACCTATGGGGGAAATAAAAATAGAATAGAGGGAAAAGGAATTAAAAAATAACCTCTCTGAAAACAAATAATTATAGTTTTGACTTTGTAATTACATAATTATCAATGTGAATCACATATTTGAAAATAAATAAAAAATTAAAAAGTAATCCCTAGGCTCAGCACTTGTGGCTCAAGTGGCTAAGGCACCAGCTACATACACCTAAGGCGGCAGGTTCAAATCCAGCCTGGGCCACCAAACAACAATGACAGCTGCAACCAAAAAATAGCCGTGGGCATTGTGGTGGGTGCCTGTGGTCCCAGCTACTTGGGAGGCAGAGGCAGGAGACTTGCTGGAGCCCAGGAGTTGGAGGTTGCTGTGAGCTGTGATGCTACAGCACTCTACAGCTTGAGGGGGACAGCTTGAGGCTTTGTCTCAAAAAAAAAAACGTAATCCCTAAAAATTGAAAATAAGTTGAAACAACTAAACCTAGCTGCTTTTAATTTGCTAACACAAACATACAGAGGAAAGAAGGATTTCAAGATATTTTATAAAAGCACATTTTGACTGCATCTACAATGAACATATTAACCTCAAAGAAAATTGCAAAGAAATTTAAGTTTCATTCAGTATGGCTTATTGTTAGAAATTCTGGTATTACTCTTTTGAAAACTATTTTTACGTATTGCAGGATAAAGCAAATAAGTAATATTATATTTTTCTTAGGAATAATGATTTTTTTTTTTTTTGAGACAGAGCCTCAAGCTGTCCCGCTGGGTAGAGTGCCATGGCTTCACTGCTCACAGCAACCTCCAACTCCTGGGCTCAAGCGAGTCTCCTGCCTCAGCCTCCCAAGTAGCTGGGACCACAGGCACCCGCCACAACGCCCAGCTATTTTTTGGTTGCAGTCATTATTGTTTGGCAGGCCTGGGCTGGATTTGAACCCACCACCTTAGGTGTATGTGGCTGGCGCCTTAGCCGCTTGAGCCACAGGCACCAAGCCAGGAATAATGATTTTTTAGTGTTACATTTTTTAAAAAGTTACAAATATAATATCAAAGAGTTTAAGTAAAAATACTATACTGTTAACTTAAGCTAGAAAAAAAAAAAAATCCGTTTTCACCAGAAATATAGTCTTAGTTTTTTCCACTGAAAAGTCCTAAAATCAATAATGATGTTAAAAGAAAAGCAATCCCAACGCCCGCTGTTGAATCAGAGTTCTTTTGAGAAATATTTTAATTAATTTTGAATTTGAGTTAATTTTAAATGTTTAGTATTATTTTTAGTAAATGTCTGATTCTATTTCACAATAGAGCACCACAGCAAAAACAAACTATATATGATGAGCAGGAGAAAAAAGTGAGGAGGAAAGAGAGTTTACAAAAGGTACAACCACGCCAAGATTAAAAAAAAAAAAGATGAATCTAGCCACATATTAATTCATGTAGTAAATATTACTGTCTGTCCAAGATGCTATGAGGAACTCTTTTGCAGAGATAGGCAAACACTCTGTTTTGAGTGACAATGCGCTCTTCTTCCTCTTTTTTAAATCTCAAGAGATGATTTTGCAAACCAGCAATAGTTTCTTGTTGCTCCATTCGTTTTTTCTTATAACGCTGGCATTTTGCCTGTAAGAAATTTTTTAAAACATAATTATAATATATACATCTAAGACATGCTGTCTTAACAATACTATGCATAAAAGGATCTTCACAGTTTCTATTGGACTGTTTCCTTCAAGAACGTCAGTATTGAGGCTATTTTTAAATGGATGTAAGCTCCAACAACACTAATATGTCACAAACTTAAAAATATAACAAATAAAACAGCTGTAAAATGGGGAAACTATAGCATTTCTTAATAAGCAAAAAAACTCAAAAATATCCATACACTAATATAATTTTATGTTTAGGTTTAGATGAAAATAATATTAATGATGTTTAAAAGAACCAGGAATTTAAATTAAGGTTCTTAAGTTATCAAGGATAATTTGGGAACACAAATAGTGTAGTCAACTTAGGCATTCATGCAAAGTGAGAGACTCAGAGTAAGTCTATAATTAGGTGTTCTCCAGATGTCTTTCCAAAAGGAACGTATTAGTTTGCAACCCTACCAGCAGTGTAGAAGTGTTCCCTTTTCTACACATCCATGCCAGCATCTGTGATTTTGTGATATGGGCTAATCTTACTGGTATTAGATGATATCTCAAAGTAGTTTTGCATTTCTCTGATGATTAAGGATGGTGAGCATTTTTTCATGTTTGTAGGCCATGCACCTGTCTTCTTCAGAGAAGTTTCTCAAGTCCCTTGCCCACCCTGAGAGGACTAATAGACCTGCCATTTGATCCTATAATTCCTCTATTAGATATATATCCAGAAGACCAAAAATCACACTACAATAAAGATATTTGTATCATAATGTTCATTGCAGCCCAATTCATAATTGCTAGGTCATGGAAGAAGCCTAAGAGCCCATCAATCCATGAATGGATCAATAAATTGTGGTATATGTACACCATGGAATACTTTGCAGTCATTAAGAAAGATGGAGACTTTACCTCCTTCATGTTTACGTGGATGGAGCTGGAAAATATTCTTCTTAGCAAAGTATCCCAAGAATGGAAGAAAAAGTATCCAGTGTACTCAGCCCTACTATGAAACTAATTTATAGCTTTCATAGGAAAGCTATAACTCAATTTTAGCCCAGGAACATGGGGAGAGGGGGGAGGGAGGCGATGGGAGAGGGGAGGGTGAGTGGAGGGAGCGTGATTGGTGGGATCACGCCTATGGTTCATCCTATAAGGGTACATGTGAATCTCTCTAAATGTAGAATATAAATGTCTTTTTTTTTTTATTGAATGGAGAATATAAATGTCTTAACATAATAACTAAGAAAAAGACATGAAGGCTATGTTAACCAGTTGGATGAAATATTTCAAATTGTATACAGAAAGGGTACACTGTACCCCATGATAGTATTAATGTACACTGTTATGATTTAATAAAAAAAGTCTATAATTAGGAAGTTATCATCAAGAAGTAATCAGGAAACAGGGAGGAGGAAAAGGAAGGAATGGATGAAAACTACTTAACAAGTATAGTGAAGACTATCTGGGTGATGGGCATACTTACAGCCATGATGCAAGCATTATAAAAGTGATGCATGTAACTATAAACATTTGTATCCCCTTAACATTTTGAAATTTAAAATGTTATAGTCACTTAAAAGCATATAGTCATAGTCATACTACCCTATTTAAATACATTCCAAAGTAAATTGTTTTCTTAAAACATAAATAGGCTCGGCGCCCGTAGCACAGTGGTTAGGGCACCAGACACACACACCAAAGGTGGCAGGTTCGAACCCAGCATGGACCAGCTAACCAACAATGACAACTGCAACAAAAAATAATCTGGCTTCATTCTTCAAACCACAGAAAATCAAAAACAAACATCCAGTGCCAAAATTATCATCAAAAATATTACAGAACTTAAATTTGAGGATGAGACAATCCTTGGGGCCACAGAGAAGTGAAAAAACTCTGAGCAGACAGTAAGAAATTCAGACTTCTGTATAAGCAATGCTCCTCCCTAATCAGCATGGCACTGCATACAAACAATTTTCCCTGGACTCATAGATCCTACCAGAAAAAGTGAGATTAAGGGGAACAGCCAGCTACTCCACCATGTTTGAGTCCCTTCTAGAACTATTCTTGCTTCCACCCACAGAAAGCAATGCAAGTGCCTGTAAGGAGAAAAACCCCTGGGGACAGCCAGAGTCAAAGGGTAGAGGTGAGAATAGCAACCCCAGCCTGCAATTCTTTGTTCTGTATCTCAGCCCCAGGAGATGCCAAATCAAGAGTGGCTATTCAATAACCCCATGCTGTAGAAAGCCTGCTCCATAGGCCCCCTGGAAAAGAACTCCTAGTCAGTCCTCACAGTCAAGGTATCCCCCTTTGGCACCTTCCCCATCTGGGATAGGTAAGCACTCTAAACATTTGTAAGAGCTGAGGCAAACCTGGGCTTAAGCTGCCACTTAGTATAAACAAAGAAGGCAATGACCTAGCAAACAGGAAATTCAATAGGTAAATTTTAAGGACCCTCTGTCTAACCAAATGTATCCAAGAAAAACAAAACATGCCAGATAATGAAGATGAAAATGAATGACAAATCCTTCAATATGAAAACACAGACATGTATACAAAAGAAAAAACAGCAACTGTAGAGATGGGATCTTGTTATGCGGCCCAGACTGGCCTCAAACTCTTGGCCTCAAGTGACCTTCTCCCATTAACCTCCCAAAGTGCTAAGATTACAGGTGTGAGTCACTGTCTGCCACCCAAATTATTAGATTTAATTTATTATTTATTTATATTTATTTAAGTGTTATATTATATTTAATTTATTATTAGATTTAAAGAAACTCAGTGAACTCTAAGATAACACAGAAAATAAATTCAGGAATTCATCAGAGAAATTTAACAAAGAGTTTGCAATGTTAAAAAAAAATCAACAATCCTAGAACCAACATACGTAGTTTCTGAACTAAAAAATGTATTAGAGGCTCTTAACAGTAGAGCCTCTGTTTTTCTGGATCAGGCAGAAAAAAAACATCAGTGAGTATCAAAACAGGCTATTTGTAAATACAGTCAGAGGAAAAAAAGAAAAAAAGAATGAGACAAAGAATGCCTAACAAAATATTGAAATTCCCTCAAAAAAACAAATCTAGACTGGGCACAGTGTCTCATGCCTGTAATCCTAGCACTCTGGGAGGCTGAGGTGAGTGGATTGCTTGAGCTCACGAATTTGAGGCCAGCCTGAGCAAGAGCGAGACCCTATCCCTACTAAAAATAGAAAAACTAAGGCAAGAGAATTGCGTGAGTCCAAGAATTAGAGGATGCTTGAGCTATGATGGCATGGTACTCTACCCAGGATGATAGCTTGAGACTCTCTCTTGGAGGTGGTGGGGAGGGAAGAACAGATCTAAGAATCATTGGCCTTCAAATGGGAACTGAAAAACAGTGAGGGGTAGAAAGCTTATTCAAAGAAATAGTAATAGAAAACTATCCAAACCTAGAAGAAGAGTATAAAAGTCCAGATACAAGAAGGTCAGGGATGACCAAACAGATTCAACCTGAATAAGACCATCCTGAGGCATATAATAATCAAAGTGTCAAAGTGTCAAAGGTGAAGGACAAAGAAAGGATCCAAAAAGCAGCCAGAGAAAGGAAACAAACAACATATAAAGAAGTTCTGATTCTTCTGGCAACTGACTTCTCAGCAAAAACCATATAGTCTAGGAGACAGTAAGACAACATACTCAAAGTGGTCAAAAAAGAAAAAAAAAACCAACACAAACTTGACAACTGAGAATACTATACTCAGCAAAGCTATTCTTTGAACATGAAGGGGAAATAAAGTCTTTCAGACAAACAATAGCTGAAGGAATTCATCATCACTAGACCTGTCTTACAATAATGGCTAAAGGGAGTTCTTCAATCTAAAAGAAAGGAAGCAATATATAAAAAGAACCCCCCCCCAAGAATACAATACATTTGAAGATATACCATATTCTGTGGAGTGTAATGTATACTTTTTTGCCCAAATTTTTGAGGAAAAAATAAGGATGTGTCTTATACATAAGTAGTATGGCTTGGGAGGGCGGGATCCCAGCAAGCCTCCTGAGGCCACTGCACCCACCCTCCCATCTGGGTCTGCCAGGCACATGGGGTTCCAGTCTGAGAGGATCTAGTATCTGGTGGGAGGGGGCTGGAGAAGCTTCCACCAAGCACTGTGATCAAAGGAGGGGACAGTGGCAGGCAGGGCAAGGTAGACCACAGCCATGGGGCAGGGACCAAGGCCCGAGGCCCAGATGTGTAGAGGAGATTGGGAGCCCCATGCAGGCCCCAGGGACCCACCTGATTGCCTGTGGGCTGAGCAAGGGGGGGAAGGGTTCCCAAGAGAGGAAAGGGGCAGCCTTTGCCAATGAGGCAGGTGCAGAAAGGTAATGCTATCTTCATGATTACCAGGGGAGTGTTAACCATCCCCAGATGTGTCTCTCCTGGCTAAGAGCTGGCCACTTTTTTGAGGCGAATTTTCCTGAAAGTATGGGTGAAAAACGTGGGTACAGGGTACATATTATACATGAGAGTGCATCACACATAGCATATAGTACAGCAAAACTCAGTGCAAAAGTTAAGTAGATAGACAAACCCAGAATACTTGAATACTGTAACTATAGTACACAATCTACTCATAACTCTATATAAAGCCCCCAAAACAAATTTATCAAAAAGTATAATGGCTTACAACAACCTGTTAAGAGACAGGCAATATAAAAGTATGTACACTGATATGAGTTAAAATGTGGGGGGAGGGGAGTTAAAGTGCAGTTTTTTTTTCATTTTTCCTTTGTTTGCTTCTATTCTTTGTGATCAAAGATACTGTTTAAATAACTTGTTATATGTAGAAGATGTTCTTTGTAAGCTTCATGGTAACCACAAAGCAAAAATTTATACAGGAAAAATAAAAAGCAATGATTAGATTAAAACACTTAACCAAAAAGGAAGAAAATCATTTAACCACAAAGTAAAAAAGAAAGGAAGGAAGACAGGAGTTACAAAGCAACC